ACACACACAGAGAGAGAGAGAGAGAGAGAGAGAGAGAGAGAGAGAGAGAGAGAGAGAGAGAGAGAGAGAGAGAGAGAGAGAGAGAGAGAGAGAGAGAGAGGAGCAAGCTCTAAATCACTTTCATGTAGTGTTTAATGGCTCCTATCAAAGTTGGTTGGTTGGATATTTCATTCATGAAAAATCCTCCCTTAGGTCAACTTTGAGCACAGGATTGTAGAAAAGATGATACCGTCCATTCTGGTGAGACCTTGTGTGAAGTGTGTGGTTGATCCAATCGTCGAGTCGTCGACTTCTGAACGTAGTTTAGCCTGCAATGCATAGGGGTTCCCGATACTCGCTGTGGTGAGCAAAGTGTTACCCGTTCTGGTGCGATGGCAAGGCAAGCAGGGAACTGGCCGAGGAGTGGAGTGTAGAACATTAGACAAGAAGAAAGTTGTAACGAAGCAGGGGATAAGATTGTCGCCATTCCATTGTATAGATTGCCTCAATTCTTTTTTCTCTTTCAAAATGTGTTGTAGAAGTATGTACAAGCTGAGTTGCACTCTCTAGCCCTTGTTTGTATACCCTCAGCCAACTTCCTCGGTATATGGATTGCACTGTGAAGTCCAGTTTCTGTCTTTCATCCATGCATCTGTGTATGTGTGTGTGTGTGTGTGTGTGTGTGTGTGTGTGTGTGTGTGCACGTGCGCATGTCTGAGAGAGAGAGAGAGAGAGAGAGAGAGAGAGAGAGAGAGAGAGAGAGAGAGAGAGAGAGAGAGAGAGAGAGAGAGAGAGAGAGAGAGGTGCTACTTATGGTCTGTCATACAGACTCATACTAATATTTTTGGTATAGCATGCAGGCCGGCTAAGGGAGACTATGTCGGGGAATGTTCTGCCAGGCTAGCGACCAATGGGGTAGTCCGTGGCAAAGGCTGGAAAAGGCATGAGGTCCAGGGATTCTCTTGCCTTCATAATGGAGTTTCGAAAAATATAGATGCATTTCAAAGAAGTAGATTTGTGCACGTTAGTCGTTGGTATTATATTTATACCTCTGTTTTGTGTCTTCTTCTTCTTCTTCTTCTTCTTCTTCTTCTTCTTCTTCTTCTACTACTACTACTACTACTACTATTACAACCTTTAGCAGATGGTTTGAATTCTTCTTCTTCTTCTTCTTCCTCCTCTTCCTCTTCCTCTTCGTGGGTGTCTGGTTTCATCTGGCTGTAGTTATAATCTTATGTTACCCAGCCTCACTTTGGTTAAAGTACTGCAGGGTTATTCTTTGAAGCAGAACCATGTGCGTTCCTGATGGGCACCTCCTGATCACGTTGGAGCTGTGGGGTGACTTCAGCAACCACCTGCTCGACCTCAGGTTGCAGGAGGGTGGATATGCAAGGATGGCAAGAGCTGTTTTCTTTTTTCCCTCTGTTAAATTCCCAGTGCATGAGCCCAACTCGATGGTGACATTCCATGTGAGTGACATCGGCCAACTGGTCATGGCACAGCCTCTAGGTCAACGGTGACATTCCATGTGATTGTCACCTGCCTCAGTTTGTCGGTGACATTCCATTTGAGTGTATGTTCTTATTTTGTTTCACTCTGTCTGCAATCTTTCTCAACTTTTTTTTGAACTAATCTGTTAGGTTTTCTCAACCACCTCATACCCTTTTTGAAATTATGACTGGTGTCGTGTTTGACCCTTTTTTGTATCCGTTCAGTTTTTCAAACTTTTTCAAACTTTTTCACGTGGTGCAGTCTTGGGCACTCCTTGTTTGCGGAGCGACTGTCAGATGAGTGTCTTTATACACCTCCTTTTCAACAGCACACGTGCGGGTAGCACTGGACGGTAAATGCTAAATACTAATTACTAAATACTTTTGCCTGGAAATCTATATTTTGTGGAAAAACTCGTGGACGTAAATGCCATTTTGCCTCCTTAGGCGGAACCCGGGAAAACTCGTGGATGCGTAAGCCAAGCCCGGAAAAACTCGTGGCTGCGCGCACATGGCACCGGAGAAAATTGGCTGGCAAACGTCCTGGCGGTTTAATTTCACCACCCGATTTGTTCAATTCCTTGATAATGCTGCTTCTCTGGGCATGCTCACACGACGCCCTTATAAATTATCATCGCAGAATTTCAAAATGAGCGGCCTGATCGAGTCCTTCTAAAAGGAGGACTCGATTGGCCGCTGGTTTTGCGATTATTAGGGCCTAGTGTAAATATACTATACTCTTCACTGTCTGCTCATACTATTAGGCGGCGAACTCGTCGAACCTCCCGTCTCCTGCATCGCGAGTGGTGACACAATATTATCTTCACATGTGATTATTAGGGCTCGTTCCTTTATTCGTTTTGTCCTCTCATCTGTTTGCCCGCCCTCCTGCCACACACACACTTCTTTCCGTCTGTTTTTTTTTTTCTTTTTTCTGCACTGGTAACTAAAAATTGGTCCCCGGCGAGCAAAGGTAAAACCGTAAAACCACACTCCCTTTTTAAATCCAGATGCAACCACATGAACAGAAAAAGTAAGTTCTGAATTGCCTGGGGCCGGCTAGTTCAATGCTTATATCTCAAGGCTGTCGCCCGTCTTTTTTTTTTTTTTTAAGCCATCGCGGTGTCGCCTTCTCTTAAGCAAATTCTGTTGAAACCGGACACAACCACGATCTGTGGAAATACGGACCGAAGTTCGAATCCCGATCCAACCACGTGGACTGAATAAACAAGTTTTGGTTTGTCTGGGGCGAGTTAGTTCAATATTCTTATCTTTTTTTTTCTCTTTCCCCCCCCCCCCCCAATGCTCCAATCTATTCGTGGGGAGCAGCACTTGCCGGAAACGGGGTCCAGCATCCCATAAAGACATGTACAGCCTCAACAAGGATCTTTTTGAGAAAAGTTGAGAAGACCTCCCCCTGCCAGCATTGATTACCCTGGGGAATTCAATGCTCATATCTCAAGGCCATTGCCGTTTCCTTTTTTTTTTTTTTTTTTTTTTTTTTTTTTTTTAAGCCTCACTCCCTTACGCTTACACTGTGGCAACACACCCAAACACGCGTGAAAATACTTTTCGCAGGTTGCAAGCTCTCCTTGTCCCACGAGCTGAGTGGCTAAGGTCGTACCTTGGTTTCGTGGATTGTGGTATAATATCGTTTCACCATTTCTCGGCAGAGAAGCGTGCAGATTGCTGCAGCAACTTGGAACTTGAATTCGCATCAACACACAAACTTCGCACCTGGAGTCAAATACCTATTGTAGTATTGAATGGTTAGCAGTTGGCCTCAGCGGCACTCTTAATGTATCGTTGGATTGTGTGGGGATACAAAGTCTGACATTGCAATGTTGCTGGATGTATGTGGGTGGTGCTCTGGTCCGGAATCCTTGAACCACCGGTACTTGGCCCAGCTATCGGCGGCGGGAAGAAATTGAGTAGAAATGTTTCTAGTCGGATGAATTAGGGTGCCCTTACTACGCTTCCAAAAATTGTGGCTTGTTTTTTACGGCCACGACTTTAAGAAGCACTGGTGGTTTAAACCGCCAGTACCTTTCCCACGCATCGGCCGCGGGCCCTGCGCGCCAAGCTTCCAGGATGCATCTGGCCGCCGCTGCCAGCCGGGTAGGGCCTCCGTGTTAACGGGCGCTCTATTTTCTCTTCGGCGGCGGGGAAAGGTACTGGCGGTTTAAGATTGTTACTCCGGGAGTCTCTGCTGTGAGTATGATTCCCATGTGTTGCTTTGTGGAGCACATGGCACTGGAGGCGCTGCACAAGGGTGGTGAAACCACAGGCAAACTCGAAAAGCAAATTTGTCCGTGAACAGTGCTACTTGACCAAAATGCCTGGTGGCACCTGCTGGGGAAAAAAAGAAAAAAAGAAAAAAAGAAAAAAAGAAAAAAAGAAAGAAACACAATACACAGGTGCTTGGGCAAAGTGTATTCATTGGAGTGAGTCAGTCATGGATAGTGGTCGACACGCTCAGAGAGCAGCGGACTGTGCAATGCACTCTCTGCTGCTCACACACACACATACACATAGACACACACACACACAAACACACACACACGCACACACAGAGACACACACGTCCCGTGTTCCACCCAGATGAGTAGATCAAAGTTTCAGGCTCACAGCGACCTAACCACCAATGAAACAGTTTTGGCTGCAAAGTCAGCAACACGAAGCGGAATATATATCCGAAGGAATGTTACCTTTATACACAATCATGTATGTACTAGGAGGAGGAGAGGAAGAAGGCGAAAGGAGGAGGAGGAGGAGAGGAGGAGAAGGAAAAAGGGGAGGAGATAAGGAGGAGAGAAGAAGAAGATTCAGAAAAAAAAGAAAAAAAAATGTCCCGTGTGCTGACATGGCAGCCGCGCGAGGTCGACAGGACTTGGGGAGGAAGAGATGGAGGAGGAGGAGGAGGAGGAGAGGAAGAAGACGAAAGGAGGAAGAAGTGGAAGACGAAGAAGGGAGGAGTGGCGGAGATGGAGGAAGAGGGGACCAGAGTCTCTGTCTCTCTCTCTCTCTCTCTCTCTCTCTCTCTCACACACACACACACACACACACACTCACACACACACACACACACTCTCGCGGCCGCAACAGCACGAGAGTCTCTCTCTCTCTCTCTCTCTCTCTCTCTCTCTCTCTCTCTCTCTCTCTCTCTCTCTCTCTCTCTCTCTCTCTCCCCCTCCCGATTCCTATGGGGAGGCTGGAGATGGCAAAGGGAGCGGGGCGACGACCGCAAGAGTCCAAGTACGTTTTTATTCTTTCGAATTCAAACTACCTAGACTGACTCCGCGCGCCCACCCAGGGCCCCCGCCCGTCTATCGCCTACAGTGCCCAAGGCCCGCAACCTCCCTACGAGGGACGCGTTCGCAGCCCGCCGAAATGCGTTCGCGAGCCGTTTTCGCGAACATGGAGAGGCGCGAAAACTTTCGTTGTGCTACATAAATATACTATATACCATATAGTTTGTTTGGATGTTTCTAACAGGTAACCTTGAGGGCAGTGGTTGGTGCTCACTTCAGGGTTGTAGTTGTTGGGCAGTCGTTAATGCTTAACTGCAACCAGGGTTAAGGTGGATTATCACTTTCAGTATAATCTGCTAGGGGACTCTGCAGACTGTAAAGGGGTCAGCCTTAAATGAGTCAATGAAACTTCGATGAAATAGACTGTCTTTTTTTCCTACTCTCTGCTTACAGTTTCAGGGGCAGTTGTGTTTGACATTTGACAATACATATACGACAATATATTATACGTACAATATATATGTATGTATAATTTTTCATTTTTTGTTCTTTCGTGAAGGATTTCGATGTGACCCAAAGTGAAACGTTATTCAGTTAATTTATTTGCATAACAATGATAACATAGTGCTTTTTCGTTGTTGTTGTTGTTGTTGGTGGTGGTGGTGGTGGTGGTGGTGTTATTGTTTGTTTGTTTGTTTGTTTTTTTTTTTTTTTAATTTAGGGACCTCTCGGTGGCCCTTACCACCCAAGGGCCTCGACCCACTAGCATCGTTTAAAACGGTGTGTGGCGTTCTTTTCTCATTTAAAAACGCATAAACAATGTTATTTTTCATTAAAGAAAAGGACAAAAAAAACGAAAAATCACAAGACTTGACATCGACATCATGATAGTAATAGGCTATGCATCCACACTTCCACCAACCTGGTACATCTACATGCGGCCTTCCCGCCGGCCTGTTCGCAGTCTTCCACAAAAATCTCAATATTCTCAATTTTTGCAAAACAATAATAGCAAGGCGCAAAGCTTCAAACACACCCCCCCCCCTTAAAAAACCATAGTATTGAAGCTTCGCACCAATGCAAAGTGGCCAACTAAATGGCCATCAAATGACTTTAAAAAAATTATACTGGCCGATGGGCAGCTGCATCCACGAAAACAAAATCAATCCACACTAGCAATCGATACGCGAAATGGTCAACGACTGATGGATGACACCGACGATCGCACGTGGTCGAAAACGAAGGAGTAGAAGCGTAAATCGAACGTAGTGGGTCAAGGCCCAAAGCAACCAAGGTGATGCAGGTGGCCTGGTTAGTAGCCCGCAGTAAATTTTGGTGTTTGGAACAACTCGAAATCGGTTGTGTAAGTTGAGTGAAGTTTGTTGTAAGAAAGGAGAATCTTGCAGGGAAACTAGCAGGAGTTTAACATGAACACCGTAAGGTCCAAAATGGCCGACATTCCAGGCGCTTTGTTCACAACCAATAAAGTACTGTTTGATCATTTTTTACTACTTTTTAACTGTTTTTTTAATGATTTTTTTTGACAACCTTATACATCCACCACTACACATATAGAATCATGGTTTGTCCTAGCCTTTTAAAGGTCTAGCATTAAAACACAGACCTCCTCCTAGTATCTCTTAATTAACTTCAACACCCTTACTACTACAATAATATTCTTAAGCATGGGACGACCCTTGATAAAACCTCCTTGTTCTTTTTTTACATAGTCTGGGAGACAAGTAGCAAATTTTCAAGCCAGAAT